CATCTGAAGATCAAAATCTGAAGAAGTGTTCGTCTGTGTATTCTGTTTTGAAAGTCTGAAGATCAGAATCTGAGTTAAGTTTCCACAACTCAATTTGAAGAAGAAGGAAGATTGTTAACATGACTCAAGGGGTAACTGGGGATCAAACTACGACTGGACACAGCAGTGTTGAGGGAAATTCTGGAAATCCAAGTTCCATTCCAGTTATGTCAATGAGTCAAGGGGTTGATTATAGTCATCCTCTGTTCTTGAGTCCTGCTGATATCAGTGGGGTTAATCTGATTTCATTCCAGCTTACTGGAATTGAGAACTATGCTTTGTGGAGTAGGTCGATTAAATTGGCACTACTTGGAAGAAACAAGATTGGTTTGGTAGATGGATCTTGTAAGCAAGAAGATGTAAGTGCAGAATTAAGAGGTCAGTGGGAAAGGGTGAATGCCATTGTTCTCTCATGGCTTCTAAATTCTGTGTCAAAGAGTTTGCTAGGAGGAGTAGCTTTTGCATCATCAGCTCAAGCTGTGTGGAATGACTTAAAAGAAAGGTTTGATCAATTAGATGGATCAAGAACCTTCAGTCTACACAAAGATATTGCAACGTTGCAACAGGGTACAGATTCTGTGTCTGTATACTTTACAAAGCTAAAAACATTATGGGATGAATTTGAGACTTTGGTACCACCTCCTGGATGTAATTGTGAAAAGTCAAGAGGTTTTGTGGATCATCTAAATCGCCAGAAATTGTATCAGTTCCTGATGGGATTGAATGAGTCATTTGGACAAGCAAGAAGTCAGATCTTGCTGATGAATCCTATTCCTACAGTAAATCATGCCTATGCTATGGTAGTAAACGACGAATGTCAAAAGATGGCCTCAAGTAGGTCGAGTATAGGCCTAAGTTCTATGGGTAGTACTGGAATGGACCCTCTGGCAATGTACTCAAGAACTGGTGGAGGCTCTAGTTCCCAAGGTGTTAACAAGTTCAAGAGGAACTTTCAAGTGGTGTGTGATTTTTGCAGATGCAAGGGACACACTAAGGATCAGTGTTATAAGCTAATTGGGTATCCATCTGATTTCAAGTCAAAAAGGAAAGTGAATACTAGTACAGGAACTGGAGCTTACATGGTTGGAAATGATGTTAACAGCACAAGGAATGATTATGAGGATGTGTCTGGTAGAGTTTCTTTCAATTATGGAGGTAACACTAATGTACCTGTGAAAAATCATATGAGTAATATAGAGGAATGTTCAAACCAATTACAAGGGTGTAATTTCACCAAAGATCAGTATAGTCAAATTCTCCAAATGCTGAAACAGAGTCAAGGAGGTGGACAAAATTCAGAAGATTCAAGCCATGCACATGAAACTCAGGCTAATACTGCAGGTAAAGTCTTGTTAGTTTCTGAAAATAGTCAGGTCTGGATTGTAGATACTGGGGCATCTAATCATATGGTGTCAAATTTGGATATGCTTACTAGTGATTCTGTTATTAAGGTTAAAGAGCCAAAACCTGTATATTTACCTACTGGGGAAGTGTCATATGTGTCGCATACAGGATTATGTAAAATATCTCCAAGAAGTGTGATTACAAATGTTTATCACATACCAGAGTTCAAGTACAACTTGCTATCAGTGAGTAAGGTGACTAAGGAGTTAAATTGCTCAGTCACTTTCTTTCCTCATTTTTGTGTGTTTCAGGAGCTTTACACTGGCAATGTGAGGGAAGTTAGTAAAGAGGGCATAGATTATAAAGAAACTTTTTCTCCTGTAGTAAAAATGGTCACAGTAAGAACCATTCTAGCCTTAGCTGTGTCCAAGAGTTGGCATATACATCAAATGGATGTATATAATGCATTTCTAAATGGTGATTTAGAAGATGAGATATATATGTCTCTGCCACAAGGGTTTTCCAATCAGGGGGAGAATATGAATAAGGTATGCAGATTGGAAAAATCATTGTATGGGCTTAAACAAGCACCAAGACAATGGAATCATAAGTTTGCAGAAAGCCTCCAGAAGCTGCATTTCAAACAAAGTCAGTATGATCACTACTTGTTTACAAGGAGGACAACTGAAGGGACTACAATTATCTTGGTTTATGTTGATGATATTTTAATAACAGGAAGTAGTTTAAAGCTGGTGGAGGAAACAAAAAAGTCCTTACAACAAAGTTTTAAAATGAAAGATCTAGGAGAGTTGAAATACTTTCTTGGGATAGAGTTTGTAAGGTCAAACAGTGGAGTTGTCATGCATCAAAGGAAGTATGCACTTCAACTTATTTCTGAAGTTGGTTTATCAGGAGCAAAGACTACAGGAACACCTATGGATGTAAATGTAAAGTTGACATCAAAGCAATATGATGATCAAACTGGACAGAATCAGAATGAGCCTCTAGCAGATCAAAGTGCCTATCAAAAACTGATTGGGAAGCTGCTATATTTAAATATGACCAGACCAGACATTTCGTTTAGTGTTCAAACTTTAAGTCAGTTCCTACATCAACCAAAGAAGTCTCATATGGATGCAGCACTTAGAGTTGTCAAATACATTAAAAGACAGCCAAGTCAAGGTATACTTCTATCTAGCAAGTGTAGTAATGAAATTATAGCTTATTGTGATGCAGATTAGGCAACATGTCCTCTTACAAGGAAATCTGTGACTGGATATGTGATTAAACTTGGAGAGTCTGTGGTGTCTTGGAAAGCTAAGAAGCAAACCGTTGTGTCAAGAAGCTCAGCTGAAGCTGAGTATATGAGTTTAGCTTCTACTGTGGCAGAGTTAGTTTGGTTGGTTGGAATGCTGAAAGAATTAAAGGTTGAGGTTCAGTTACCAGTTCAAGTGTATAGTGACAGCAAGTCTGCTATTCTATTGGCCTCTAATCCAGTCTATCATGAACGTACTAAGCACATTGAGATTGATTGTCATTTCATCAGGGAAAAACTTCAAGAAGGGCTGATTAAGATTACTTATATTTCAACACATAATCAGCCGGCTGATTTGCTAACCAAAGGTCTCAGCAGGCCACAACATGACTGTCTACTGTCCAAGCTAGGGGTATTAAATATATTTACACCACCTAGCTTGAGGGGGAGTAATGAGATAGTTTAAAAGAAGGAGAGTATTGAGAGTTAGTTAGGAATACTTCAAGAAGTTAGTTAGAAGGTAGTTACCAAATTGTTAGGTAAGTAAGTTAGTTAAGTAGAATATAAATACATAGAATTTAGTCATTGTATCACTTCTTCAAGAATGAAATTAAAAATACACTTTCATCTTCTCCAACTCTATTGTTTTTATGATTCATAGTGAATATCTTCAAAGGAATTTTTTTTTTTCTTGATAAAGATGACATTGAAAAAGAGGGAAAAAAGAGTGCATCACTGTTGGTAATCCTTCTGGTTAACAAGGGAAAGAAAGTGAGATATTTATTAAAGGAACGTATTCAAATATAATTATAATTGAGATTCTAAAAAGTAAATAAAGCAAAAGGTGAAATATGAGTCCCATAAAATTAGTCCACTAACCAGTAAAATAGGTCTTCATCAGTAGCTATTTATTTTATAATAAATTGTCATGTTTGTAATTAAAATGTTAATGTTGTAAATATAATACTAGAATAATATTATGTAAATTAAGGTCTTAAATAGAATATCCTTGTAATTTTTCCATAATTAAAATCAATTAAATAATTTGTATTGAATAGGATTAAGCAATTAATATATATATATATACACTAATTCTCGAACCCGTCATGTTAAATAATATAAATACTTTAAAGTTCAAGAATTTGAACAATTTTTTTTTTAACTCAATTAAAATAGAAATTTTGTAAAAATAAATAAATTAAACAAGTCTAATAGAGAGAACACATACAAAAAAAAATAGAGAAGTAACATACAACATACACATTTTTCTTAAGATTTGCTTCATAACAATATATATTGTAGATGAAAAAAGAAATACAGATATGATACAAAAAATTTGAGTTCTTGTCAACACACTAAACATTAACCAAATAAAATTCAAGAGTCTTCTACATCGAGTCAAACGAAAGCATGAAAATAGTACAATAATACTATAAGGGGTCGTTTGGTAGAGTGTATAAGAATAATGCACAATATAGTGCATTAATAATGATTGTATTAGTTATGCTTGCATCAGTAATGCTGAGATTTTTCTTATGTAGTATTTGATTTGATGTACTAACATACCATGCATTGCATAATTTTTTTTAAAAAAAATATTTGTTTACAAAAATACCCTCCACAAATATAGTAGAGAGGACGTGGAAATATTTTTCAGGTACAATTGTGTCTTTAACCATGTTAATGCATGCATTAGAACCCATTGCATTACTAATGCACAAAAAATCATGGTATTAGTAATACACTTGAGAAAAGACATAAATTGATACCTGAAGTTGTCCCCAAATTTTCAAAAAGACACCTTAACTTTGCGGGCATCCTATTACCCCACAAAACATTTTAAAATCACAATAAATACACACTTTTTACACAATCTACATTCTCAATGCTTGAGCGTGAGTTTCACCCCAATTAATAATATAATTACATATTTTTTCCAACCCATTTAGTAAAAATTGGATAAAATCTTAACCCATTCACATTTTAATCATGACCTTCTTGATCCATTTAAACCTTAAATCCCTTTCAAATTTTCACTCTACTCTCTCTCTTTGATGATCAAAACCCTAAAGTATTTCAAGTCACAATAAATTTATTTTGCGGTGATAATTTGTTGAATTTTGGAGTCAAAACGAAGAAGTGAAGGCTCACATGATAATTGCTTCTTGATTTGAATGCAAATTTTGGTTTAAAAAATGTTCCTTTATATTGTGATTTTTTGAAAAATCATCTTTATAGTGATTTGTTGTTATTTTCTTCTTGTG